GAAAGACAGGAGGGTTTTGTACACGGCTGTTGTTATACTTAGGCTCCGTTCGGTTGCACGGCCGCGTCGCGGCGCTCTCAAGGCGCCACAGCCAGCTCGGCCGCGTGGCAGTGCTTTTAGTGAGAGGCGATTGGCTGAAAGACTGTTTTGGCGTCGTTGGCCGCGACGCGGCCATGCATCCGAACGCAGCCTTAGCGTCGGCAACGCTTCTGGGGAAAGCAAACCGAAGCGCGTGCTCGAGAAGCGGCGCTCGGCACGAACCGAGCTGTAAGCCACCTCCCATGCCTGTCGATTGTGGATTGTTGATTATTGTAGCTCAACTTCTAGTCCGTGGAGGGCAACTTCATGCCTTACCAGTATCCCTGGACGGGTAAATCAACTTCGGTGCAGAACAGCGAAGCTGGTGGGACATCTAGTGCAAGCCAGCATGACACCATTCATCGGATGCCATGCACATGGGATACACGATATAGCTGCTTGTATTTGGAAGGTGTGTTTGTCCCCCGAATGCGTACAGTACCGGAGGGTAAGCAGTGAGGATGGTAGGTGCACCGATTCTTGAGATACCACACTCCCCAACGATAAGCCTGTGGCACCACTGGTCTTGCTCAAGGTAATCCTCTGACTCCCCTTAAGTCATTCACAATGCATCAATCAATGCGGCAGCGCATTTGTATAAAGGAGCTTGAGCGATAAACCGCCACTGGCTCTGTGAGCGCCTCAGCCACATTGCTGGAATTTGCTCATGTTTGTCGCGGCTCCAGCCACAATATTAATGGCCCTGATGATTGCTCGCTTCACCAACTCGCTTTCCAGAGTTTCGGGGACCGTGACGAAGTTGAGTTGATTTATTCAAGCCTTCCCGCCTTCTCAAATATACTAGTCCCTTCCTGCCGGAGATATGTATAAAGTGAAATAGCGCGAAGCTCGTAAAATAGCAAAGATTTGGGTGCACTCAATTGAAACCACCAGACCTCTCGCTACGATTATCTTCTATCAACAGCACATTCCGGGTCCCTCCTTACTTCTCCAATGTCCCGTAGCTCAACGTCCTCTATTCCGCGTTGAGACTCTAACCTCGGTCCAAGTCGTGGTGTGCGCGGTGAGACAAGCCGTATACTGATGGACATCGTTCCTGTTGAGGGCGGTGCCCAGGAGATGTCACGACTGTTCGACTCTGGCGGCTCGGCCGCTTGGTATAAATTCAGCATCAGGCGCGATGCCATAACCACTGATATGCTGCTCGCGAACGTGGAGAGCACGCCCCTGAGCGCATCCTACGGGCTGTCAGTGAGAGCAGTGGCTTTCGTGAGGCAGACGCACGTCTGCTAGCTGACCATAGCAATGGGAATTCATGTGAGACGAAAGAGCAGCGGCGGGTGAAGGGGTCAGAACATACGTAGAACGTCAGGATATTAGCAAGGTTGGCGGCGGCCATTACTCTGCTCAGAGGTCAACCTGATTCCCCAATTGCTTCACCATGGATCCGCAGAACGCACGTAAAATATATTGCCCCTGGAGGAAAGGATGCAATCATCTCTCCGTACTTGTATCCAAAAATGTGTAGTTACACTCACCGTCTCTCAGCAGGACACGAACCAAACTGACTCTTCCGGTCAAGCTCCGTAGATGCATGCTCGGCGCACGCCACGTCCGGAGCACGGTCAGGACGAAAACGAAGACGTCGTAGATGAACAGTGCTTCCCATGCTGTCGCTTGGTCTGCATTGTGGAGCCGGTAAGCTACGGTGCAGTAAACTAAAGCATGAGGATTACTTACGGATGCCACTGGGTGGAATCGATGCAACGGTTAGTATATGTTGTTCGGTTTGAAGGGACTCGCAACTGTCACTGACGCGTCGAGAGATGTATCAATATGGCACCCCGACTCTTTCGAGGCAGCTGACGTCGTTCCGCCCAGTATTGCCCACTATTCAGATCTTCATTCTCTGAGCTCCAAGTCCTGGACTAGAATCCAACTCACGCACGAGACCGCCGCCAGCACCGTAGCAAGGGCTATCAACATGCCTAAAATACGGCGATCGCAATTCCACAATGCAAATGTGCGGACAATCAGAATTGCTGGAAGGCGTCGAAACCGTTGCATTCCCTAAAACGATGAGTGGAATGTGTGCTCACCTCCAGATAGTATGGTGTTGACCATTAGAAGCCCTTGGCGAAATAATGCTTCGTGCTTGCAGCTATCGACGTCTCAAGTCAGGGGACTCGCGTCCGTCATCCTGCATCTGTGATCTGTGACCTCACCTCTTCCGTGAGAACCAAATGTGAATAAATGGAGAAATCGTCAATGCAGGAAGGTGACTCACTCTTGGGGAGACATTCCTGAAGCTATATATCGTGACCGCTATATTTCCACCGAATGCAAGGTAGCGATTCAGAAGGAATGTCACAGAGCCGTAACTCCATTTATGTGTCCATACATAACGGATTTCAGGAATGAACGTAACGAGATGATCGTAATAAAGGAAGGCTATCGTACAGGGGAGAAAACGAGTTAGCAAGGTGTACTAGGTAAAGGGAGGGTTGGGCCGAACTGACTAATGGAGGCAAGATGGAGATAGTCGCGGAGGAGTCTGCATATTAATAGGAATCAGCTGGGTAACAGTACAATCGGAGCTCGCAACTCACAAGTCCCTTTCAGCAGATGCAGGGTTGTTCATATCTAAGGTGGGCTATTCGCCACAGATGTTCTCGTATATTTATGTCTGGAGGGGCGCCCCCAATCCCTAGAATCCGAGTCGGAGGAAATGTTCTACCGACTGCCATCGTGACGGGCACTATGCCGGCCATCAAGCTTCAAGTCGTATAGCAATCTGATATCACCACAAACGCAGCTAACCCGCGCTATTCCCAGGGTATGAGGCTTCATACCATTCAGAACAGTAGGGGCAAATCACGTCCATGTTACCGAGGCGCGTCAATCTACTAGATCAAATGTAGACCGTGAGTATAGATATCTTACACACCTTGGGACTGATTACACACGTATGTGGATTGAGCTCGTTTTGCAACGACCAAGGCTGTCCGAACTTCCGGCGGATATAGCCAGAGTTCTCCGGATGATATCTCACATCTTAGGTCGCAATGTCTGCGTTCCATGCTAATGATAGTAACCTCCAGTAGGTTTACTTCGAGAAAGGCACCTACCTCTATTGTCCAGGGCCTGTTTGAATGCGCCATTGACGCCACATGTCACTATCTTCATTAGTCGCGAATCGCGTACAGATACTTTTTATACTCAAACGACGCCACCAACCTCAATCCTTATATTTGCGCATTATCCTACACAGCAATGACTCTCCTGACCTCTGCAATATCTCCCAGTTCGACGTCTTGACCTCTGCCCTGAGGTTCCAAGCGCGGTCCTAGACCTGCAATCTGCGACGTGAATATTCCGATACTTTCTGTCGTCCCGGGCGTGCGAGGGGCTTCGAAGCTCCTACTGAGCGATCCCCATGGATCTGCCTCATGGTGAAGGTTCAACATGAGACGAGATACCATGACAACGGAGATGCTGCTCGCGAACGTGGAGAGGACGCCTCTGAGTGAATTCTGCGAGCCATCAATGACAAGGAGCAACGCATACAACACCGTGACCCACATCTGCTAGCTTATTATGACGGCTCTTGTCAGATGGAACAATCGCGCCAGGTGAGGACAAGCACACGTACATAAAATGTAAGAATATTGGCAAGGGTGGCGATAGCCATTATTCTGCTCGAAGCTCAACCTGCTTCGTGATTGACGCATTATGCGAGGACAAACGTACGTGAAGTACATCGCTCCTGCATGCACAAACCGCATTAACCGTTGATATTCCTACGCTTTCAGATCATATTGCGCTCACCGTCTCTTAACAGTATATAAACTATGTTTACTCCCGCGGCGGATTTGTGTAGACGCATGTCCAGGGTGCGATAGGTCCGGAAGACGGTCAGAGCGAAAATGAGGACGTCGTAGATAAGGAGCGCTTCCCATGCCGTCGCTTCGTCTACATGGGTTAATGGGTCAAGGTCGATAAGCACAGAAGAACGGGGTTTCTTACGGATACCGCTGTATAAATCGCGTACATTCATATGTTACACATACTCGGAAATAGTTGGGTGGCTGTTACTGACGCATTCAATGAGACATCGATATGACACCCAGTCTTTTCGGAGGCAGCAGACGTCATTCCGCCCAGCATCGCCCACTATTGAGGCCTTCGTTATTGATAATCGACTATATCTTCCTGGATAGAACTCACGCATGACACTGCAACGAGAACTGCGGCGAACCCGAGCATGATGCACAGAATACGGCGACTACGGTTCCACAACGCGTAGGTGCGTGTGGTAAGAATAGCTGTAATTAGTCCAATGACGGCTCATCAAAACCGGCAAGCTGTTGAGTGAAGAGTACGCATACCTCCAGAAAGTATGGCGTTCACGACGAGAAGCACTTGTCGGAACAATGCTTCGTGCTTGCAGCTGCGCAGATTCCAGGTCAGCACGGTCACCCCCATGTCATCCTGCACATCTGATCTGACCTCTTCCAAGAGAAATCAATCGTCAATAATTCCAGGCTCATGGATGTGAGTTACTTACCCTTTCCGATAGATTGATGAAACTGTAGACCGTTACCGCTATGTTTCCGCCGAACGCAAGGTAACGGTTCAAAACGAAGACTACAGAGCCATATGTGCGAATATGTGCCCATACAAAGCGAATCTCCGGAATGATCGTAAGGAAATGATCATAATACAGGAATGCTGCACCACGGATCGCAGTCAGCAAAGGATAGAACGCCGGTGCATGCTAGGACTGACTGATGGAAGCTAGATGTAGATAATTCCGAAGAAGCCTACAGAGATGTTAACACAGAATGTCATCGTAATCACGCAGGAGAGAGGACTCACAAGTCTCGCTCAGCAGATACCGGGTCATCCATGCGAAGAGAAGCGTGCAAAAGTGGGGAAGTCGGGCGAGAATGCGTATATAAGTTGGAGGAGCTGCGTTTCAGCGGACGCATCGGGACAGAGGAGTTACTATCATAATATCATTGAAGGTTGTCAGCTTCTCTATGAGGGCTCTGACGATTGGTCGATTCCCGTGTACGAGGTGCGTCCAACTGCGAGGATAAAGGCACAAGGGGCAGATTGGCGCCCAAAGCCCTTTCGCACAGGCGCTATTCTGGGTTTTATGCTATACACCGTCGTCTCGCTGCTCCAGAAATGTAGCTTCGCTATATCCCGAATAAAATTCGTCATATGTAGAAACTTTGCAGGGATTGCGTGCCAAAGCAGTGCTTCGACTGAGGTGATTCGCTTGTGCAGAGTAAGCCTAGATCATCATTCTCACTGCGACGAGATGTCACACGAACCTTGCCGGTGTTTATAGACGTATATGCAAGGTCACGCCATCGGCTTCTGCCTCGGATTGACAGCATCTCCCGTCCCTGAGCGCGCAGGATCTTGGTGTGTCCGTTCCTCGATGATGCCAACACGATCGCAAGATGAGCGCTGATCGTGCGTAGTATCAGCACCTTTTCGAAGACACCGTTTAATCGCAGCGCCGCTGGCGCAGCACCGTCGAAAAGCCCATTATCTAGTCGTGGGACGTGTTCGGAAGTAATTGAGTTTGCTGGCCGAAATGCGAGGAAAAGGCGGGCAGCGATCCTGAGGTGTCGGACAGTTCGATACTTTCCCCGACGAAGGAATCTTGAGCTCGCTCATACAGGTTTAGCATCAGTCGGGACATCAGCGTCACAGAAATGCTGTGGTTCAAGGTCAGCATCTAGTATGTATTAGGGAGTGACAGACCCTACTTGCTGGCAAAGGTCGATAAGGTGCCTTTGAGTAACGGCTATAGAGAAGGTTTCAGTTCGGGCTCTGCGCGCGCCGTTACCGAACCTACTCTAGCTAACTGTGAAAGTGAAAGTGAACTGAGTCTCACCGGGAGTGTATATGCGGCATGCGGCTTACATAGAATGTTAAAATGTTGCCAAGATTGGCAAGCGCCATGATACTAACATCAGTATTAGCGACGTAACAGGTACAGCCACGGAACGAGGCAGACACACATGAAATACGTTGCACCTGGAGAATCGTCCACGACGTGAGAGACGGAAATTTGCATAACTCCAACGGTGACATACCATCGCGCAGGATTAGCCTTAACAACCCATTACGGAAGCGAGAGGATCTAGATGCGCTTCCAGACGTGTACGCCTTGTATATAGTACAGGCGAAGACCAGCACGTCCAGTGCAAGCAGGACTTCCCAAGCCGCGGCGGTTCCTGCGAGGGGTATGTTTCTACCCAACTCCCTGAAGCAGAAGTTACTCACTTATTCCTCTATCCAATGCAAGGGTAGCATTAGCTGTGGTTCCAGCGAGGCACGGTGAATCACGCACGTGTAGGCAGAGTCTGCAATATGGCATCCAGGGAAAGTGGTGGAGATGCTACTCCTGGACGTGATTAAAGCCCACTTTCATAATTCGCGACTAAAAAATATGAAGCTCTGGATTTCCTGGAGACTTACACAAATGATACTTGACAGCGCAATTCCCGTTCCGATGAGCGCGAAAAGCACCTGGCGGTTGCAGTGGCAGAGAGCATATATACGCAGCATAAGAAGGACTGTGGAACGGTTAGGAATATTTATTCCGCATAGATGGAACTTCGTCTCACATGATACGAAGCCTGTGCTCGCTATAAGGGCGAGCTGCCGAAAAATTGTATACGCCTGGCAGCTTCGCTATCCTTGAGCGTCAGATTTCGACCGTACGACGACAGCTGACAGACCTCTAACACGCCGTTGCATCAGCGAGGATGGCCCCATTCACGTGAAAATATACTCACGGACGGCGAGACATCGTGAAAGCTAAAGTAGGTGACTATGGCGTTGACCATGAAAGTGAAGTAACGGTTGACGAGGAAAAGCGCTTTTGCGCCGAGGCTCCGACTGGACCATACGAACGAAATCTCGTCGGCTATGGTGATTAGATGGTCGTAGTACAAGATCGCTGTGAGACGAGTCAGACACAATAGCCTTGTAACCAGAGGGGACTAGGCTCAACTTGCTGACAGCAGATGAATGCAATCTTGTATAAATCTGAACGATGACAGGTCATTGACAAGGAGTATCTTACGCCAGCGGAGACAGGGCTGACATTGCTCGTTGATCTTGTGCTGTAAGTTGTCCATCGAGGGCGGCAGGATAGGACATGTCACCGATAGGGAGCAAGCAGTCCTGTGAGGAAGACTCGCTAGGACGAGGTGAGGCTAACGTTAAAAGCACTTGCGTTGCCCGATGTGAGACGGTTTGGAATCCACCCCAGTTCGGATAATGCGGGATGCAATGCAGAACACCACCACCTTCGTTAATAGCGCAGAATGGAAGCAGTTAAGATTCCGAAGAGATTGGCAGATTGGCAATCCGAGCATACCCTGGTTGCCAACCGTGATCCCATATTGCTTGTAAGAAGATCGATGCCCTGTGCGACGAGTTGCCATCTCCGTCCGAGTAACAACTGGACGGGAGTTTCAACCTTCTTCACAGCCTAACACCGAACATGTGGGACTTCGGATCGCCGATTCGTACTGTGAACAGATGACCTTCGTGAACGGCACAGGTCGGGACTCGGGACCGTAGGAGCGACGAATCCTCACGTCCCGAAATCAAGTCTCGAATTCAGTAAGAACGGGACCGAGTCACCCTTCTCAGTCTTGTCTGTATACATACTTGGGATGTCCAGAAGGTCATCGTCAGAGCCAATTTTTGTCTTAGTAGACCGAGCTGGCCGCCTGGCCTACGAACGAAAGTTTAGAAGCGCTTCAGATGTTCAAACTCCGCGCACGTGTGGCTTGGGCTTAGTTCAAGCTCAAGTTGGTGCACGCGAATCAGAACGGTCGTACAGGCCACAGCCTGAGGACCAGCTGTCCAGATTAATCTCAGCGAACCACGCAGTACTCAAGTATCACCGGATCGTTAATTGAAGATGTACTAGAGAAGCCAGTGAAGCTGTCCGCTACCAAGGCCGAAGATGCTAATGCTACATTAGATGGTATCACATCCCGCGGGTATTTTAGTACAAACAATGTCGCAGCGATCAGTACAGCGTTCACACTCAAAAATAATCAAGCAACCATCGAGATCACACCGCGCAGTCTTGCTCTTAGTCTAATCAAACGTCCGTTCGTCAGACTCATTGACAGTCTGGATATCGCGCCGTCGTCTGACAGAGAGATCCTCCAGCGGTAGTTGCTCCTCCAGATCTTCGTCTCTATCCCGCAAGGTCTCTCCGGCCACGCCGGAGCGGAATGTCATGGGCCGCAAATCCGTGCCGTGTCCGTCGATCACGAGGTTGGTCGTGAAGGCCGCCCCGAATACCTCGAGGGTGGTACGGGATGAGTTGAGGTCGCCATTCTGGTGGATGTTAAGCATTAGGCGCGAGAGCATTGTAACAGAGATGCTGAAAATGAATATGTCAACGAAGGTCGAGAACAGCAGGACAGCTTGGGCGGGGACAGTGGGCGAACACTTACTTGCTGGTGAAGGTTGATAGGACGCCCTTTATCAGAGGGGCAGACAGCTAATCAGATACCCAGATATTGAGCATGCAAGAGTTTATATCAGCAGCCAAAGCACTGACGTAGAATGTCAGAATATTGGCAACAGTGGCCAGAACCATGACGCTATCAGAATGCAAGTCAGCTTCCGGCACGCTGGGTGCATAATCAAGCTACCAACCTATAGTAAATAGTGCCTACATACAGCAATCATAGACCTATGAGTGACCCATCAGAATCAATATCTGGCACACTCACCGTCTCGTAGCATGAGGTTTACCAAGTCGCTCGTCCTCGTGAGAGTGAGCCGGGAATTACGAGGGCGGTCACCCAGGGTCTTTTTCAGAGTCAGGGCGAAGACTAGGGTGTCCATCACCAGTAACGCTTCCCACCCTGTAGCGGTGCCTGGAAATGTACAAATAGGCATACTAGAAACCAAAAACGGTAGCAACCCAGCCATGCACTCACGGATGCCCCTAGAGTGAGTGGCAGAATTTGCATGGGTTCCGACCGTTAGATATGATTATTTGAGGGGACTTACGATTCTCGATCATAAGCGATGTGACACCCAGGCGAGTTTCTGATATCGCTATGCCCTGAGAGTACTTGCCACTGTCGTTGAGAAGGACTGTGAATACAATGAGGAAACAGATACTCGGCGATATAACGTACCACGCTAATGCCCGCCAATGTGATACCGACAACAACTAGACCCACCAGGACCCGCCGGCTACATCCGTAGAGAGCGTAAATACGCAGGACCAGAAGTACTGAAACGGGGGAGTCATTTATACACCCTCATGGCCTGGAGCGGGACGTGCTTACCAGCAACAATAACCGCGGTAAGAAGGACGGACAATTGACGGAATTGCATCGCAGCCTTGCAGCTACGTAAAACATGAGTGAGTACGCCGAATATACAGCTATGTCAGGGCATTCACCCCTGCGTAAGAGCTTTAGAGGTAATCGAAGGCGTGAAATACTGCAGAACCTACTTCTAAACTGAAGTCCTTGAATTCAAGGACTGTCGCAATAATATTGACGAGCAGAGCGTAATAGCGATTGGCAAGAAACAAGGCCTTGACCCCAATCCTTTTACTTCGCCATATATACACCATTTCTGGTACCAGGGTTATGATATGGTCGTAAAATAGGATGGCTATGACAACTTAGCCTTAGCCGGAGGAAAGCGGGCGTAGAACCGTACCGACTGCAAAGACGTGAGCATAATTTTGAATTAATCTATAGTGGCAATTATTCAGATTACGGCGCAACATAATGCGAAACGGAAGGGCTTACATAGCTCGAGCAACGGATTCAATGTCCTCGTCTGCGGACTCTACTTGATGCTCAGAGATCAACATTGTTCACACCACAAGAGCTTCAGCCAGGGCGACTCACCGCTCATGACGTCTGAGACATGCCAACTTGCAGCGACCTTGGCGCGATCGCTGCAGTCCGAATCGACCCTGGGCTTATGTCGAGATAAGAGACAGGTTCTACCAGGCTAGCGCGCCGCGGGATTAACGCTTTCAATGAACTAGCGTGATCAACGCCGCGGACGTTACTGGCTGCCAGTGGATTGATGGCGTCGGTGCCAAGTCTAAACGCCTCGGGGTCGGGCAAGGCCACCGTCGTCGTGCACGCTGCAGTCTGCTGGGGAACGTCGACGCCCAGAAGACGTTCGAGGTTAAGAAGGACAAAAGTAGCCACGGCCCACCGCTCGCCCTATCTTCCGTGATCTCATATTCCCGAACCATAGCACTGGCGCCACGTTATTTCAGAGCATAAGGGCCTTGCCGAAAGGGGGAATGAAGAACGTTCTTCGGACGCTTTGCCCTTGTTTGCATGTGTGGGTTCCTGCATGGACGACACCCTCAGATGGGACTTGAATGGTTATAAACTCTATTTTTTTTCGGAATCGTTTCCCGCCCGACAAAGTCTATGGTATCTGTCGCTCTTCAGCGCTCAGCGGCCTTTGAGGTCATCTATCGGTCAAGGTTTCCCATCATGTGGTGGTTTTTCCAGAGTATCCAATTCCCTTCAAGATATCCCGTCTACACATGCTCGACACTCCGCATCTTCGACTTCGCCCACGAGGAGAGACCGCGAAGTTGGCATCTTCTCCTTCGTTTTTTCTGACCCTCGGTTCCCGGATGTGGGCCGCTGCCCAACCCGTCGAGATCCACACGAGCAAAACATTCGCTGTGAAGACAATCTCCGCTGCCTCGGCCGCAGCGCATCCTTAGCCCGATATCTGAGAGGCCCTTCGACTGCAGTGCTAGGCAATGTTCTACACTTGCTGGCGAAGACTTTCTCAGGAGCTCCAGAGTCGAGCCTTAACTTTGTCATGAAAGTACCTGTCTCCCGTTGGAGTGCTGCGACCCGTCGGCATTCTTGGTTAGTTTGTCGGCATCGGTAACATGTCGCTCATTCGTTAGTCAACTTAGTCAAGTTAGTGCGGATCGACTGCCCTGACTCTCACGTTATGTAGAATATTTCGTCGTGCAAGCTCTGCCAGGCGAATAGACTGCAGCGCCTTGATGCGCTCCTGGCATTCACCCACGATCCTTAGCTTGGGAAATGGCATGGTGCTCTTCTCTCTTGGCTGTTACGGTTTGTGAGCCTAGGCAAGCGCCCGCCGCCGACTGCAAACATCAAGGGATCGCCCATATTTATTCGCAATTGTAGCATCTCATTCATCAGCACGTCCGCATGGGTACTCGGACTTTTCTGTCGTTCGCATGCTGTCATGATGCTGAGTACGCGGTGGTTCGGGTGCGAGAAACAACAAAATACGATGCAGAATACAACGTTAACGCGGATTGGCCTACGCCATGAGTATAATATTACAGTTTTTGACTTCCCAGGTTTCTGTCTAATATGGGGGCTCCTCCCGTGGAATCTGGCCATTGCCAAACTGATCCGTACCCTGCTCCTGCCTCTTCCGCTTCTGTTGACCATCATGGTGCATCTCCTTACTGCTCATGCCAGCGCCGGGGTGGCCAAGACCGCTGTGGACATCCTGCGACGTCGCGCCGGTAAGAGTGTCACCGACGGCTGTCCGCTCTGCATATGGGTCGCGGTCGATCACAACGTCGCCTACCCGCGGCTGAGCTAGCGACTCCAGACCTCCCTCTGCCCTCGCTTGCAATTCTGAATGAATATAGCGTCAAAACAGCACTGCTTTGCGCCAGGAAAACCGGCAGGCTTACCTGAATTCTGCACCGCCCGAATCTGGTCAGCACTGGGACCCTGGTCGTGCGCCGGTGGGCGATCACGGCCTGTCGGAGGCGGTAGGTGCTCCTCAACTCGACGAGGTGCCGACTGCTGTTGGTGATCGCTTGGCGTCTCTTTGAACCGTGTTATTCAAGTCGTCCTACAATTTACTGTAGGATGCCAATACATACCTTTAGGGAAGACCGCCGTGTAAGAGTGGCCGGTGGTGGCCTTCTCAGCACCTGGGATGCGAGCTGAGTTCGCGTCGGTGCCAACGTAGTCGTTGTGGCGGTGGCTGGTGACTGATTCGTTGGACATGGTTGCGGTCGTTTACAATGGAGAAAAGTACAAAGTGCTGAGTCTGCAGAATCGGTACGAGAAACGTTTGTGAGGATCCATCCATTACTTTCATGACTATATATACGGGCTCTGTACTGGTGGAGAACGCCTTCATCGCTCCGCCACCGTCAGAGTTGCATCATAGCGCCATCCGCGTCATATAGCCACGTGCAGCGTCGAGGAAGCTCCAAATCCGTCTCGCGACTTCCCGAGCAGCGCACCTGGTCCGTGCGCAACCCTCTCAAATATATAGTCTGGCGTCCAGCGTTTACGATTCCTTACCACTCTGGCCTTTTGGCTTAGATCAAGTGTAGTATCTGTTCTTAATAGTTTAACCACTATTATGAGGGCACCGCCCTCATTTTTGGTTATCTAATTTTTGCCGCCCTTGACCTTCGAGCTCTGCTTGCAACTCGGGGGCGCGATGACCTTGCCACTGCACTGCCGGCTTGTGTCGTCGGGGGATCTCTGCCCTCCTTTTCGCTGCTTGTCTACGCGTCATCATTGGATGGTGCTTGAGCGTTCAGCGAATAGATTTGGTTGCAGATCTCAGAGTGGGGTGGACTCTTTCCCGTGCTCATGTTGTTGTGGATGTCACATGTGATTGGATGATACTTGCAATAATATGTATGTCCATGTAAATACAGTTGTTCCTTGGTGCTCTGTTCATTGTGCATTTTTTATTGATACTTCATAGTTCTAGTACTCTCTGTCCACCCCGTCTATTTCCATACAACTGCTTGCAAAGATGTGAATCGGAGACCTTGCGAACTCATGCGAGTTAAGCATGAGCCGGGAAACTAAGGTGACTGAGATTCTGTCCCGTTGAAGCATATGATCCGTGGTCAGCCTCACAAGGAATACAATAACATAACACTTACATGTTTGCGAATGTGGAAAGGTCTCCCTTTAACAAAGGCTATTCTATGATGAGAACTCCGCGGCGACAAGACACAGCAAGGAGTTCGTACCGAAGCAAACTACAATAGGCGTACCGTGCCCATCCTGTCATCAGTGATCATGAATAGCGAAAAACATGAGAGTCTCATGACGCACATAGAACGTCAGGATGTTTGCTACATTAACGAGTGCCATCAGCCTAGAGTGATCGTGGGTTACCGATGTAGCGTCCGAGTGCCTTGCCGCTAACCAAACGCTTACGCGAAATACATGGAGCCTATATGAAATAAGTTATAATCCCATCTAGTCTCACTTGGTCACTCACCATCGTTCAGGATGAGGGACATTATCCGTGAGGAGTCCTTCAATCTACGAGTGGTGTATCCCCGCGAAAAAGCTTTGTTTACAGTGAGGCCGAATATCAATATGTCGAATACCACTAGTGCTTCCCAGGCAAGAGCAAGCCCTGATTTCCCTAGATCTCAATCTGCTGTCCGTTCTGACGAAGTGAGGTACTACATACGTTCCCCACTGCAAGTGGAAGGTAGGCGTCAGCGCATAGAATAAGTAGAACTTGACGTACGTTCCGGGTGGCATGCTGGACATACAGATAGGGTGGAGGACCATCATATGGACTTGATGCAGCATCGCATACTGTAAGCGGTGTAAGTAAAGTGATGCGCTGCACCGGGGGAGAGAACTGGGGGGACGCACGCATATGATGCCCAAGAGCGGCAGCCCAATACCAAAGATAAGTAGCAGTACTTTCAGATTTTGTCTATACAGCGCTTGGGTGCGCAGAATCAGAACGACTGGAGCGGTCACTCGGAGCGTAAGAGCTTTGACAGGCAGGCGGCAGAGGGCTTACGGCATACAATTACTTGGCTTGCTATCATACTGATTTGGTGGAGCGTGAAGAGGAATCTACAGCTGTAACCTCTTTAAGTGGGGCTATGCGCGACCGGGATGCAGGAGAATGCTAACCCCTGAATATCAGACATCAGTTAACGTTCGCTATTATGACTGGGATGAGAGCGCACTCACGGCTGTAGACAAATCCCGAAACATGAGGCTGATCAGCACTGAGTTTATTAGGAAAGCTAAATATCGATTGGCGAGAAACAAAAATTTTGCCAAGGAGAATTTGGCACTCCAAATGTAGTTGACCTCGCAACCGAAAGTCAAGAGGTGGTCATAGTGTAACACAACTGCGGAGGGTGTGTTCAGCTTGGAGGCCAAACAGCAAACTAGATCGTGGCTCACCGATAGCCAGGAGAGTGGTGGAGCCATGAACACGACTATCGAAAGCAGTGTCAGTGAACGTCTCGGGATGCACCAATATAATGGTTCACATCTGTAGCTTGTCGTCTTCCATAGTCGTTTATGGGCGCACCAAGCACATGAAGTTGTCCCTCCCAGGCTACGGGACCACCTTATAGCTCTCGGGCGGCATACTGACAGCTTCCGTTGCCCAGAACACTGCGCCTAGATTATCAGTGTCTCTATAGTACACTTCAGCCCTTCATACGGAAGGAATCAGAATACATCTCTGGAACACGATTTGACAGAACGGTCATTTAAGAAGCGATGCAACCCAGGAACGAGCACAGAAGCATAATTCAAGCCGCAGGTGATACGTTCCAACATGTCTGGACATATAGGTACTTCAGCCAGCTACAGCCAGATTTCTTGAGATGTCTCTCGTTCCAGTGGCTCTCGACTGAATCAATCAGCATGTAGCAGAGTATCACCCAAAAGGGAGACCAAATAGCTCACCTTCAAAGCCATGGGAGGATCGCATGGGCATCTGCCCCGTCAACTTCGATCACTAATCGAGAAGAGACACTTTCAAGACGAGTGACTAAGGTGGCGATGTTCTGCCTCATGTAAGAGATTGACGGGCTTTCGAGAGTGAAATCAACAAAGACGGGCGAGTAACTGACGACGGGCGAGGTGGCTTGATCATTACTACTTGTGTTACCTTTACAGCGCGATGGATGGTGCGAACAGCGCTGTATGGAACAAAAATGCATCCTTGCATCATAGTCTACACAAGGCGACAAAGATTCTCGCCTGAAGGAAGTTCGTCAGTACACGCTGTGAGCCCATCAACTTGAACATGTTACTCTAGGCATCTATTCGAACCTCCACTGGCACTTTTCGGAATGTCGCTCTTGACGAGCCATCTTCGGTCTTGATCCACTGCCTGCGCAGCATATACCCTCCTTTCCGTGGCAACCAGTTGAAACGCACGAGCCAATAGCATATACCGATCAAGGATATCGACACGGCCACAACGGCATGAGACTGGCAAATCAATCATGATGAGCACTGACGGCACCCGATATCGATGATCGACATGATGGATGACCCACCCAATACGGCAGATGCTCGTACTGCTTGAAGCCGGGGGCGGGAGGCACGAAAGGAGCTGTGATCAAAAAGAGATTCGCGAAGAAAAACCACACCACTACAGGCTTGTAGGCACGGAACGGTGGTCTCCAATTGTAGGATCTGTACCACCGCGTGGACAATAGCATAAGACCCGCGGATACCAGAGTATTGAAGATCGCCAACGGATAGGCAGACACTTCCATGCCCAGTCACTCTGGTCAGCGGGAATATACCAACGGATGCCTATAGTACTTACTGCTCAGCATGAGTAGATACGCATCGCCAGGCGGAGCGGCGATCATGATCGCACTCGAAACCAGTGCCGTTGTGGTGAGGCCGGCAAGCGGCGTCCCAAAGGGTTTGTTGCTCGCAAAAAACGGTGACCAAGGAAGGATAGCTTCCCGACCAAGCTCCTGGATAACTAGCAGATATCTGGATTAAACACTATGACCTGAGGAGTCCGAGCGCGAGCCAACCTCGTCCGTATGCAAAGAGCGTGACGGATATGTTCCCGAGGGTGGACAGTGCGATGATGATGCTGAGGGTCTGGAACACATGGTCATTGATGGAACAGTTGAAACGAATCGATATTGTTTCCTCGCCTTCTCTATTCGTGCACCAAATAAATTACGAAAGAAGAGAGCACTGGGTTACTACCATCAGAACACGGGTGACTGATATACCAAGGAAGGTGCTGACGCAACAATTTGCCGGCTACCCAAGATGTCATCCTTGGAAACGACAGCGAAATACGCTATGTTCACCGACAGATATACCATAGCCACAAATAAGACGGCCACGGGTGCTGCGATCTTGATTGTCCTGATGGGATTCTTTACCTCCGAAAGAACGTAGTTCGCGTTGTGGTAACCGATGTACGCCCTGCCGCCTAACATTGACTGGAGCTCTGCGGTTGAAAGCCTACCAAGCTTACCAAGCAACGTTGAACATCCCAGTAACAAGCGAATTGACGTCTTTTGTAGTGTCTTCCCACATCGTGTTCCATTCCAGATTGTGAGGCGCTTCGACTCCATCTTCGAGCCCGAAACCGGGCACGCCGAGGAGGTGGAACACGCCAGAGAGGATTATTGCAAGCAGAACAAATACTTTGAAGATGCCTACCCAATCTTGCATGCGGATGCCCCATTTCATAAACATACCATGCATTGCGAGGCAGAACATTGTGCAAGAAATTCCGACCAATCTGACATTCCAGGTGCCCGGAGCAATACCTAGCGCATGAAGGACATCTAGAGAGACTGCCTTCAACATCTTCTCCTGTGAGATGATATCAAATCACATACATTGACCGAATGCGGTACTGTTGGCGGACGTCCAGCCCTGGTATTCCACATTGTCAGTTCCACAGGGTGTTGAATGCGCACTTGGACGCTTACTATGAACAGAGCATATGACGCATACATGCACGAAACCAGGTACCTAGGACGCCTGTAGAGGTACTCCATGTACGTTTTCTCGCCTCCGCTCCGCGGTAGTCCCTATGAATGCGGTGAGTCCATTGAGGCATTGAATTGAAGAACGGAGTTGGGTACATACAGTACCGAGTTCCACGTATACCGCTGCGCCTGCTGCAGCGATAGCGGCGCCGATCATCCACATTAGCATGGTCACCCCGACGCTTCCGGCGGACCTCAGGATGATACTTGGTGTCGAGAATATCCTATTCTCCGTGTCATTGCAACGATCGCACTCTCATTATTCGATGACTTGCCCAGTACCAATTATGCGATTGAATATGAGGAATATGGCGCTGACGACACCTTATCTCCAGCAAGTTCAAGCGTCCGTTAGCTATCTGAAAATGCAAACAGACTCACCGAGGCGTCTTCGGGACTCCGGCACTTCTTCAGGATTGGCTGCATCTTTCCCTACAAAGCAAACTAAGAGATCAGACTTGGAATCTGCTAGGTAGTGCGTACAGTCATCATCCTCATTCAAGGGACCTTCTAGTAGCCTATCTTGTACCAAATGCTCGCTATCGAAAGTGGTTCCTTGCCGATCTAAAAGTGGTTCTCTTTCCGATGAAATGGTCCGTCCGGTTTCAGATACCATTGTCGGGAGCTTGAATGCCTATGACCAGCTATGACTTAGACAGACGGCAGGGAGTCAGCTGCGTCCATGGCACGTTCTAATCCTGGTGCCGGCCCAACATCGTGTATTCCGCAAGCGCGCTATGGCGTGATGGTTTCGCACCACTATCGTCAGAGCGCTCCTCTTGCCTTTGGTGCTGGCAATCGAAGACCAGGTCGCGGTGTGATCTTGGGCTAGCGAGAATTCGACGGGAGAAGGAAGTGCGCACATATGGCATGCCTGCTATGGTACCGGTGATTGTCGATATTCAGAATTATCAGGCGTTTCACCTTGTAGTAGCTTGCACTGACTTTTGCAGATTTCGCGCCCAGCACTCTCCCTATTCTCAATGTGAAACTGCACATCTCCATGCTTCTCAAGAGATGCCATGCTTTCAGCATACACAATTCCAGCCTGGGTGAATTGTATATCTATTGAACAGCTTTGGAACAGCTTGCAGCCACGTAGTGATGGTACGTGGCGTCATTAATGTCCATCTGCTACGGCTAAATACAGCAGTTCTCGACCCACCCAAAACCAGGAGGAGCCGAAATTTGCATCAACCCATACTTCACAGCTCCCAGAACATCTCCTCGCGAAAACCGACATACGGGCCTCAGGCCGGAGGAAGGTCCACGTTCGACTCAACCAGTCGATGGGTGGCGTGGGGACTGTGGGTACCGGAGGCCTCGAGACTGGCCCGGGGACCTGCTCCACGGGCGCTCTCTCTAATCTATCCGAATCGCGACAGATCATCTCCGATCGGTAATACCCGGTTATATCCCTAGATTTATAAAGGCTCTGCCGCTCTTCCACCCAAGTCCACCCCCCCCTCATCGATTTATCTTCTCCGTAATGTCGAACGTCTTCGTGAGTACCTTTCCGCGCGTGAATCCCACCTTCATAGGCACTAATGAGCCCGTCCGCAGTTTGACATCGCCATCGACAACCAGCCCGCCGGTCGCATCGTCTTCAAGCTATATGACGATGTCGTGCCGAAGACCGCGCGCAACTTCCGTGAGCTCGCCACCGGCCAGAATGGGTTCGGCTACAAGGGCTCCGCCTTCCACCGTATCATCCCCAACTTCATGTTGCAGGGCGGCGACTTCACCAAGGGCAATGGTACCGGTGGCAAGTCGATCTACGGCGAGAAGTTTGCAGGTCAGTATATGCACGATCGCCTTTTCCGGACGCTCACAATTGTTTGACGCCACAGATGAGAACTTCCAGCTGAAGCACACTAAGCCTGGTATCCTTTCCATGGCTAACGCTGGCAAGAACACCAACGGCTCGCAGTTCTTCATTACCACTGTTGTTACGTCGTGGCTCGACGGTGCTCACGTCGTCTTCGGTACGATTCATCATCTTGATGATGCCCGGTTTGTAGTCACTTATACGCCTTCGTTACAGGCGAGGTTGTCGATGGTATGGACCTCGTCAAGAAGATCGAGTCGTACGGCTCGGCTTCCGGCCAGCCCAAGGCAAAGATCGTCATTGCTGACTCCGGCACTGTGTAAATGGTAGACGAGGATGCTTTGAGAAGAAAGAAAATAAATAATTGTATTGTATTGGGGACAATTCGTATGTAGGATTGCTCAGCTGTTGGATCGATGCCGTAGAGTGGCCACAGTTGTGAGAGCGTTACGAGGATGGCAACACTATAATAGCGCTGGGGTCTGTGCATGAGATTGTCGCTTTCCACCATGCCAACCTTCCAATACGTACGTGGCAATGCGTATGCTTACACTGGCATATATGCTCATGCCTCCGGGAGAAGCTACTTCTGATGACTCGCTGCCTCTACATTGACTCGGGCGCTAGCAGTGGGTCATAATCCTGGAAGTGGACAAAAAATACCAAACTGACATCAGTGGTATCGGTGGCGTCTATCGACACTCGGAATTCTGAGCCGCGCTTCTCTTCAGCACCGCGAATTCGAAGAACAGAAGCAAGACTGCACGAGGCCTTACTGGGGCTCACGGTAACCTGCGATAGCGGCCATCCGGTAATTCTTACCATTCGTACGAGTCCTGGTGGATTCCTTCGCTTGCCACGCGCGTATCAAGTACGACCGCGAATGGTCGTGTTTACCAGCATTTTGCTCTTCATGCTTTGGCCACTACATATGACAAGCAGCGGGCGCGATGCCTGCAGGTGAAGGGTGATAAAAGGTTTGGTGAAACGAGAATTTCCACCAGACTTTTCTCTCACCTTTCATGAACATGTCAATCGCAGTACATGTACTAGTGAGAGGTCTAGACCAAAGTGGAAACCCCATCTTACGGACTGTCCTTTCCATGATAGTTTCTCTTTCATCTCTTGCAATTGCAACATCTCGTGACCCATTTATCTCTGGCATCAGTTGATCACTACGTCCACAGCACTGTCGCCAGGAAACAAGCAAACATGTCTCATGCCCGAAGGATTTGACATTTCCAAACATCTGATGATTGCAGAATTAGCTCAGTACATCTCAATCCACTGGATCAGTAGTACTGGTATCCCCGAGAACTGTCAATATAGGACTCTGGGTAAGGTTCTATTCCAAGACTCGACATCGCCAATTGACTAAAGATCCATGGTCGTTGAAGGTGCATATGTCCTCGAGACGATCCAGGTTCGTGTCGCATTCATGCATCTGACGTGCTTCCAGGAACCACAGCGCAGCGTCTGCTCGAACTTTGATACGACGACCGCGAGTTCGCATCAATATTGTTGATCGCGGCGTCGGGCGTGGACCGCTTTGTAGTGAGGCGAAGCTGCCCACTTTAGATATAACCCATCGTCTGTGGAAATGGCTTACATATCATGGCCCAACCATTGTCCGACAGCTACGAGACTTCATGGCCCGAGTGCGTGCTACGGTTTATCGCCATTTCAAACTCCAAGCTGACCCATATGCGTTTCAAGATTCACGACAAACTGTGTTCATTTTGCTTCCATAGGTGCGTATGCGTAGATCACTCGAACCCCACTCGATAGTGGCAGCTGCTAATAATGTTACAGTGCTCCTTTTCTATGATCACGTCCTGACCTTCGACTCAGAAGTGTCATTCATATGGCAAAGCTCCGCTAGAGTAGGAAAGACACTCTTCCTGCTGAATCGATACTTCGCGCTGGCGTCGAATATCTCGTACATTGTCATGCTCCACGCTGGCGTCTCTCTGTCTAGTGTAAGTGTGGAGTGCTAGCAGTCATCTGTACAGACGCTCCGAGTCTAAAGTATTCTCCACGCTTTCTCGGGAGTAGGCAAGGTTTGTAGGATTTACAATCGAGTCCCGACGTTTGTCCACTGACTTCGTACAGCTGCTCGCACTACGTCAAATGGCGGGAGATATCTCTTGCTATCAGTGAGCTCTTCGTAATTGGTAAGTATACGTCGTGGGTCACGTATGGGGCGCCTTGAAAACGTTTTGCCCGCAGTACTCATGGTGCTTCGCATATATGCCCTTTACAACCGGAACCGTATTGCTTTGGGATGCCTCTGCGGGGCAAGTCTTACATCGATCGCTGTGGCCGGAGCGAGTAATCATATTTGAAGGCGCGTACTGCCTGCTAATCTGTTTGTAGTGGTTCACGGTCGCAGCACATACTCGGGATAGCACAGAGGCTATCAGGACATGCCTTGTCAGGCTTATGGGAGGCAGGTGTGTATCCATACTCTGGCATACAGGGCAGTCACAGACCCTTTCTATTTCGATGCCATCACTAGAGACTTGGGTATGCCAATGAAATTTGCTGATTTACTCCAGGCTCATTCAACCTCTAAATATCTCATGGAGGTCTAGCATCGGCGTGGGAAGCTCTTCTTGCCTTTGATATATTCATTTTCGCCATGGTCGTTCTGAAGGTGCTAAAAGAGTACCATGAAGATGGGATGAAGGGGCTCGCAGGAGATAGTCTAGTGAAAAGCATCCTCCGCGACGGTTCGCACTTCTATTTCCGTTACATTAGCGTCTTCTCAGACACCTCCACATGAAGGCGCAGCCTACTTCGTGTGCGTATCTGCCACAGCCAAGGGTAACTTTCGGCATTAAAATCCTCCAGGTTCATGACCGCTGCAAATCTGGCAAATATAGTTACTTACCATGTGCGTCCTGCAATCCTGATATACACCGGATTTTTACCATCGCCTTTTTGCTAGTCCCACGACGTGCGTCCCTGCGTCCTTTGTCGAGTGCGCAGATTAACCCTTATTTGCAGCCATCATGGGTGGGATTCCTGGCCAGTCCCGCCGCAAAGTAAGATGTCGACATCGCTCTTTCATTCATACACTTATGAGTCATTGTTTACCAGTGTCTCTGTGCTAGCCATGTCCAGGCTCATGCTACATCTACACGAAGTCGCTAAGAGTAGACAAGTGTTCGAACTTTCGAGAGGCGCCGCATCAGTTGGCCTTGAGTTCGAATGGCACAGGGATCCGGCGTCGAGCGGCGTCGGTCCAGGACTCGGAGATGTGTAGTGGTCCTCGTTCACGCAGCGTTCCGTAGTCTGTCGAGCTAAAAGAAATAAAGTACTGTTTTCTGTAGGTTCAGACATCAATATTCAACCCCGGCAAGATTCCAGTTGAGCCACTACTAAGAGTCCGTTGCGCTCCTGAGGGGTTTCCCAGAATGTGCAGGCTCGCCCGATGAGCATTGGTGGTCTAATTACGGTACGCCGGAGAGGACGAGTCTTCCGTCTAACTCTGGTCTGAATGAAACCTCGGCCAATGCTTGCATAAGGACTGGGTTCAATGAAGCGCTCGAACTATGGGCCAACTTACGCTTTCTCAAATAAAAGCTTCAGGACCCTGTCACGTATGTGGCATCAACGCTCCTTCCTACGGCCCGATGATCAAGCAAGCTGTGTATAGGATAGCGCCTCTTTCTTGGCTTGCCCCAGATCATCATATCCCAATACGTCGTTCGATAATTGGATCGTTCTCAAGAAGCAGCGTTTTCAGGGCCGATATGCCTCGTGAGTTGCCATAGGCGTAGTTCAATACTTCCGGTGAGCATCAGCCCTGTACATGTCCCTACGCTTCTGATGATATTTCATCTTCCATTTCGTCAGAGATCTGAGACTCCCTCGATCAGAGTAGCAAATACTAAATCTGCCAGAATCATCCAGCATCTATAACGTTCCACCCGCAAGCGAGCGGCAGTAGGGGGAGTTTAGAGCAATCAGGAAATTGAATTGGTCTGAACATTATACTGCATCTGTCGTCTTCCTTGATCGCAACCCTGGCATCTGGTTGACCCATTTATCTCTGATTTTGCTAGGTGGCGACCTTCAAAACAGCATAGCATATAAGCCTGACCATGCCTCACGCATGCAGGGTAATATGTGTCCTTCGTCCCGAAGCAATCTGACGAAGGCCATTTCTGTACCTGGTGCTCTGTTGCATCAAGGACTGATTTTGCCACGACAAGATATCTCAGGGATCTGGATGATGAAAGATCTGCAAGCAGCTACAGATGTCTCTTGCTGGCTGGCCCCTGTATGCTCACACACACTGGCAGCAGCTGATTGGGCTGTAGAAGACCCTCTGGAACCCAAATGTGGTCAGTACGGACGATCGCAGTATCGTGATTGTTGGTCACGACTTCGGGCATAGGCCGCTTTGTGGTGAGGCGAAGCTGCCAGTTTCGGATATAACTCAACATAGGTGAACAGACCCCATACATCAATACATCATGACCAAAACATCGTCCTCTACTCACGACATCTCATGGCCCGAGTGAGTGTTACACGACTGTTGCGGCTACCGGGTACTGGCTGACATGTCCGGTGTCAGATTCACGACCAATTGCGTTCATTTTGCTTCCGTGGGTGCGTATGCATGGCTTAGCGAGTTACAAGTCATCCTCGCTGAGTTATACTGCAGCTCTTCTCTTCTATGATCATGCCCTCACGCTTGGTTCGGAAGTCTCATTTATATGGCAGAGCTCTGCCAGGGTGGGGAAGACACTCTTTCTGCTGAATCGGTATTTCGCGCTCGCGTCGAACATGTTCTCGTACATCTTCATACTCCAGCTGGGTGTTTCTCTACCAGAGGTGTGTGTCGCGTACATGAAGCCTGCCGAGACAGACGTTCGGAATGCACTGACGTCCCCGTGAATAGGCAAGGTGCGTAGGTCATTCGCAGCAGCGACTGAGTACCAACACTCTCGACTTCATCTCCTACAGCTGCACGCACTTCGTCAAATGGCGGGAGATCTCTGTGGCTATCAGTGGACTCTTCGTGACATGTATGATCTTTCGTTATCTTAGTATACGAGACGCTTTGAAAACATTTTCCAATAGCGCTGATGGTCCTCCGTATATACGCCCTCTACAACCGCAGTCGTGCCGCATTGGCAAGTCTCTGCAGCGCTGGCATCATCCTGATCCTTGTGGCTGGAGTGAGCCTTTTTCCGCTTTTGGTGACGGAAATTGGCTGACAGTCTGATCGCAGTGGTCTACGGTCTCAGCACATACGGAGAATAGAGTAGAGGCTGCGGAGCCCTGCCTTGTCAAGATTATGGGGGGCAGGTGTGTAGGCTCAGCTCTATAACTGTATAATCGGTCTCTCCTCTCATTTCCGATACCATCAGAGATATGAGTATGTCCACATCTGGATGCGCTGAACTGCGCTGGACTGAGAATGCACCCTGATGATCTCTTGCGCAGGTCTAGGAACAGCGTGGGAAGCGCTCCTCGCCTTCGATGTATTCATTTTTGCGATGGTCGTTATGAAAGTACTCAAGGAATATCATGAAGAAGGTATAAAGGGCATAGCCGGAGCCACCTTAATGCAATGCATTATTCGTGACGGTGCGCACGCCTCTTCCTATTTCCTTCCCTTCCCTTCCCTTATACTAGTAATGGGTCTCCACATGAAGGCGCCGTCTACTTTGTGTGCGTGGTCATCACGAGAGGGGTGATTTTGGCACTGAGATCCCTCTAGACTCATGACCTCTGCCAATCTCGCAAATATCATTACTTACCACGTGAGTACTGGTCCTTCGCTTCCGTCAATCACCAGAATCATTGACCTCAACCTTCTGCTAGTCCAACAATGTAAGCTCACCTGCGCCTGCGTCCGATACGCAGAGTAACCCGTTCTCTAGCAATCCTGGGTTGGATTTCTGGCCAGCCCCGCCTCGAAGTACGCTTTACTCCTTTATTTCACACACACACCTCCTGAGTAATGGCCGGGAAGCGTCTCCGTTTTGGCCATGTCGAGACTGATGCTGCATCTGCACGAAGTTGCTCGAAGTAAACAGGTCTTCGAACTTTCAAGAGGGTGCGCCTCAGACGGCCTCGAATGGCGCGGGCATTTGACGTTGAGCGCGAATCCGGAAGATCCATAGCGGCCCCTATTCGAGCAGCTTGCCCTCTTCTATCACTCCGGAAGAAATGTAAAGTAGTGTTATCTGCGGGTTCAGATATTGACACTCATTACCGATAGTTTGGAAGTGAGCTTTCATAGAGATCCCTTTGCGCTCCTGGGGGGTTTGCGCCTAAATGATACCCTGAAAACGTCCGGTGAGAACCAGCGACCCGAAATTCCCAACTGCATTCTGGGTATGATAGAACAGATGAACTGCCTCTCATATCCGACTTGTGATGTGGATGACTCACTATTCCAGTCATCGCTCTTCCATCGTAGACACAGGAGACTGTGTAGCACTGACTCGAAATCGTAGATACTAAGTTCTCCGTGTCTGCATGTAAGACCGCAGGCCTGTGATGCACGCCGCTCAAGCCATGCCTCTTGTTTGCTGCATGTCTGTCGATGCTGAGTGGGTCACATCGTCGTGTCGCCAAACCTGTTCTCCAACTTGAAGCCTGACCTACCGCCTATGTCAGGTTGTCGACACACTGCTCCATATCAACCTGCCACCAGAGCCCCGTTTGGAAGACTTCATCTCCGCAGAGTCATGCCCCAACGATGCCATGGCTATGTCAAGACTAATGCTTCGTCTTCACGTATTTGATGAGACGAAGAGAACATTCATTTATCTTCAGCTGCAGGTGTTGCCTCCGAGTCGGCAAGTCTCGACTTACTGGCGTCTGAACAACGTGCTGAGGTGCGCATCAGTGGGCGACGTGATAATTACTATATTGGGAAATGGCGCCAACATTCGTTCCTCACACATTCTTGTGCTGCAAACATTCGAACCGCATCCTTAGACCCACTCATTCCTGACGTATCAGGCTAGTGTTGACGGGTATTTCTTACTCAGATGGTAGACACTTCGATGCGGTTGACCCGAAATGTCCTAATTAGGTCCGCTGCGCCCACAACTCCAAACAGTGTAGTTGTCTATGTGGGTCCATATCGGTCCTTGTGTAACACCCCAAAAAGGGTATTCCTGTTGATTGCTTGCGTCGTTTGTTGACCTGCCATAGCAACCGACGCAATCACCTAGTTTTCCCTCGATTTTGTAGGTCCTCAGCCAATCCGACCGACAATCCCTGATGGATTGCTTGCAATCGGGACGGGTATATATACGAGCCCTCTCGACGATGGGAGGGCACAATTTCCCCGTCGTCGGACTCGGTCAAGCACCCAGCAGCCTTCCCCTGCCTCATCCTCCGAGACTCGTCCTGTCTCTTGCACGACTAGAACATCGTCTTTCTACCTCACCAGCCACATCTCACAATGTCGCCCATTGCCTTCAACCGGTCCATCTTCTCTTCCAGCCGCGCTGCTCCGGTAGACCTTGAAGCGCAGACGTCCTCTACCACCAGCCCAGCACCGGTTACTTACCTGTCGTCGCCAGCCCGCGCCGCTACACACGAACCCCATTCACTCCCCTTACGGTCGTCCGTAAATATGGTTGGAACGACCAATCCCCTCGACGACTTTTTCGGAGTCACTGCGCCCTCAATGTACCGCGTCGGGAACCGCGAAAGCCGACACGACTCCGGGGCCTTGCTCCCCATGACTGAGGCAGACTTGCCGCCTCCATACGAAATACTCCCCGCGTACACGGAGTCACGGAACGAGGAGCCCACCACGCTCGCAAAATACATGTTCCTGTATGGTTTCTGTGAGTATCTCTTGTCTCATGTTGATTTCCGACTACGTCCTGACGGGTTTTCTTCTAGTGTTCCCACCATTCTGGATCATCGGAACATTGATCCTCTTCCTCTCCCTTTCCGCACCTGCCGAATGGCACGCCGAGAAGCCAGAGATGGAGAGGCAAGAGTTGCTGAACATCATGCGGAGGACCGAAGTCAGGTGGGCGAAGCGATGTGCCTTTGCCTTGGTCCTCCTGCTATTGGTTGTCGGTGTGGCAGTTGGAGTTGGCTTTGGAGTGATGCGAGCATGAGACGATGAAGAACCCGCCGCCTGCCAAGGCTAAATGACTGCCGGTTGCACGTCAAGAGCCTATACTATCCCTCATTCCCTCCCCGCCGATCATGACAACACGCACGCTCTCTCACGAGACTGATTATGGCTGCTTTCTGCTCGGTGTCGCCTGCACTCCTTTCGCTGTCTTCCGTCACCCTCGGAGCTTGGCTCTCCGCATTGTATCGCTTAGATGTCGCTTTCATTCTCTCCTGGTCTGAAGAAGTGTATCACTAGCTCTGTATATTATCCTCTTCATCTTTATTCTATGATGAGTCGTGATGATCATAATCACAGTGATGACTTCGGGTGTCGATTTGAACTGAGGATCACTGACACTAGAAACGGCGCTCCAGAACCGAAGCATTAGATTTGTATTCCATACCCGAGATTATACACCTTCCGGTAGTACAACCTTGACAGCGACTGGCTAACTTCATGACTTTGCGAAGGACGAGCCGGCACCATCGTTCGAGCGCAACTGGAGAATGGATTCGTGAACGAGATTATCCACCGCTCGCGATCGGATTTAGCCGAAGCCGGAGGTACTCGTCGCGTGTCAGACTGTCTCTTCCAGATATCCATACTCTTGGAATAACTATCCTCTCACCACAACTATCTTAGTAACAGAGACGGACGCTCTAAGGCTGCGTCCCAGACGACCTGTGGCAATCCGAACTTCGAACTGTTGCACACATGCGCGCTAATCCATCTATCTCAAGGGCCAACGCAGATAGCATCATTACTGCGACACCGTGTATGATATGCCACCATACGCTTTGCATATAAATATCAGCCTTACCACAATGTACGGTATCGAACCCCTCTCACCTGGGCGCGAGCTACCTACTTGTAGCCGTACAAAGTCACTCGTTACTGAACTACGTCCTTTTGGACACCCCACTGTCATTTCGAATTCACCATGCTCAGAGTATCTTTATTCAGCCTAGGCTTCCTTCTTTTGTCTGTTGTTGTAGTCCACGCCCACCCGTACAGTGACGTCCACCGCCATAGCGAGCGTGCTCTTGCCAAATGTACGTCTCCCGCCCACTCCTTTTACCAAACATTCATATTCCCGGCCAGCCTCTGCTGAATGGCCCACGTACAAGTGCCAGAACGGCGATCCCGGGACTCCCTACAAGAACTTCACTGTAGGGAGCACCGGCAAGGCCGCGTACAGTTGGACCTGCCAGGGCGATATCCCCCAGATACCCACGAAGAACAACGGCACGGTTTTGCAGAAGGGGAAGATCAATCCGGCCCCTCCTGCTCCGAGACACAAGAAGAGAGATTATGACCTCCTAGGGGAGGCGTGTACTGTGTGGTGTAACAGCGGGTAGGCGTACTTCCCTTTGGGAGCCTTGTGGGTTAACCTGACCGGCGGTTGTACAGAACAAATGGACCAGACCCAAATGGCGAGTAGCACTGTCCATCTGATATGAGAGGGAAGCCTGACATGCATTCCGCGCCAGATTGCAACCAGCTGTTAACGTGAGCCTGCCCTCTCTCAGTATACGCCTACTGCTAACTACGCAACCAGATCCGACGAGATGTCTGGCACGTTCACCATCCCCGCCGGCAGCTACCTAGTCTGGACGTGGCTCACCTGCCAAGTGGTGCAGAACAACCTCGTCAACCCCTCCGTAGCTATCGAATACAGCTATGATATCAACAATTGTGCGTGGCATCGCACGCTCGAACTAGTAATTATCACAGACAGGGCTGATTTCTTGTATAGGGGCCGGGGTCGTCTCGAACCTGGCTTATAACTGCCAGGCCGCCGAGAACGCGATGGGGGGGAGCTGCCATTTTGCTGACAGCACGGCCATATGTATGTACCAGCATGATTTAACGTAATTACGTGAGGCAGCTGAACGTGCTTTTCATCCCCATTCCCCTCTAGCTGTTATCCAGGTTCAACTGGCTCCCGCGAGCAGCTGAACGGGGTGTTGGAGCAAGAGTTTCACTCTGTTTATGGGAGAAAGCGGACCTCGCTTCTTTGTCTTCGGTTTTCACTTCGATATCTGGCCTCACCACACCTCGGGCTTGACAGCTGTTCCCGTTTCACGGCAGAGGGGGTCGACTTACTTGGCACGTTCAGTTGAGGCGTGCCGCAGATCATATAATCTTGTCCTTTTCTTCATTAATGTGCATGTTCACTATTTCGGTTGCCGATTCTACTATCCGAAACTACGATTCATTTATTATTGCGGGGCAGACGTGAGTCTGGTTTGCCCATTGATTTATTACAACGTACGTACCCTCGGCAGTTCCGTATAGTCGACCGTGCCCCTTTCGCATTTCCCTCCTACCCGGGATTCATAGTTTGGTTGGGCAGTGCTGCTGTGGCTGTGGCAAGTGAGCCTGCGTGGGATCATGGCGGTGCCGCTGTTCTCCGGTCCGTCCCCGAGATATCATTGCCGTTCGAGGCTCGAGCGTTTGTTGGGAACCGTCTTGACAGTTGCGCCTACGCTGCTAGCTCTTGGGTATACGCCATGAATGTCTTCATTTTGTCCACTGCGCCTCTGGACATACATACAACTGTTCTACCTCTCGCTTCTCGCCCGAACAGCGGCCCGCCCGGGTATACCGGTCTCCGCACGGACGAGGCCCATATGCTCAGGGACCCATGTCCCTGCTTTCTGTAACGCCCGTGGACCAGTGATGCAACATATGCCATATGCTGATGATGCAGGGCCCTTCGGGCACTGGACGCCATAAATCTCGCCCCGGGCGTACGGTCCCTACTTAACGCCTTGGATACGCCGAAAGCAACCGGGCACCCTCAATTATCGAGACTCCCGACTCCCGACTCGCTCCAACAGCTTGCTCTCTCATCTAGGATCTGCACTAGTACTCGCGATGTTCCAGCTCGTGGCTCTCTTAGCTTGTCTCGCCGCAGCAGCTGCGGCAGCGACTAGCTACACCTGCTCGAACGGTGCCCCAGCGACGCACCTCTCGACATTCGTCGTGCCCGGCAGCGAAACGCCGGGGCACATCTGGTCCTGCCCTGGGGCTGCTGCGCCGCTCAAGGCGCTGATAAAGTTGGAGGCGAGAGAGGCGGGGGCGAATGAGACGCAGGCGGTGGATATCACGAGGGCGCCGTGTACGACGTACTGCGACACTCCCGCGTAAGTTGTGCGTTTCTGTCTTGAGGTGGTATGATGGATCATTGATCGTGGCATCGGGCGGGCTGGGAAGTGGCGGCGGGCCTGATCCGAACGGTACGTCTGCCTCAGACTGCTTGCGCCACATGCCTGAGGGCTGAGCTGAACTGGATGCGGCGTAGATTGCAGCACGCTGGCGAACGCCGATGCTGTTGGCGGCAACTTCACCATCCCGGCGAGCAGCTACCTGGCGTGGACGTGGAAGTCGTGCCAGGTTACGCAGAGCAACTTGTTGAACCCGGCTCGGGAGCTTAATTATACGTATGACGGCAGGGACTGTGAGTGTCGTGTTTATGTTTGCGCGCGGGTGCGGGTGCAGGTGGCTGAGAGCGGATTGGTGTGTAGGGGCGGGCGTGGTGAATTACGTCGCGTGGAATTGCCAGTCGCAGGAGAACGCGCATGGTGGGAGCTGTCGGTTCTATGATAATACCAATGTTTGTGAGTGGGGTACACGTTGTTGCCTCGGATGGAAGCTAATTTGGTGTCCTAGCTATCATACAGGTCCAGACGACACCTGCGAATGAGACCAATGGGCCATGAGAGTACTTGCTGTCCAGGCGTTGATGGTGATAAATATCGAGTTTGTCGTCGTATTACAATGGTATGTTACTACTCTCATTTGTAACGGACCAGATGCTGTACGAGTCACAGTGACATATGTATTCAAGGAATGTACCTGGCTGCCCGCTGTACTTATTATACCCGTATCCAAGTGCGAGAGCATGTGTTCTCGCGACCGATCGCTTTTGGATTGTTTGTGGGGGGTTCTTCAAAGGATCGCTGAAAAGTAAGAATATAAGTTCGCCCAGTGTCAGCATAAATTATGATGAGTCTTCTAATCTTGACATGTCTTCGCTGCTGCTTCACTCGAAATTGTGGATATTTTTCTGTCTCTAATGATTCCACGATTATCAATGCTGACGCGATACCCTCGCGAATTTGAATATTTAATGGTGGACCAGCGCAAAGCCAGTCGTTACAGCAAGTGAGTCCCCCCAGCCGAGCGTCGACTCGGATGGGGGCATCTTGGAATCTTGGATCGAAGGTTACGTCGACGGAAGAAGACCCCGCGGCAAACGATCGAGCCAGGATCTAGTCCGCATATGGAAGGTGTAGTGCTTGAGGAGATCGGATTGGATCTGAGCCAGTGCGTCCAGTTTGAACTCGAACATTTGTCGTCCGAACAACGAGCGACGCTGATCACCTCTCTATGCACTGGCTCGGCCGGAAAATGCGCTCCTGTCGCGATTGGCTGTGCCGCGAACGACGTGGAATGGTCCCTGTGAATCCCCCTCTAGAGCACTGACTCGCTGACGCTGGCGGCGAAGACGGGCGACGGGATTATTACCTGCGCAGAGCACTCAGAATGCCTCTGAACCGCAACCAACGTCCGCAGTCTCCGAGACGGGAACTGCAGCGGGCGGCGGGGCTTCGCGGGGGCTTCTCCTCGGGTCACACTGATGACTCGCTGTGACCCAGCTCACTCGCGCGCGCAGTCAACAGCCCGAACCAGCAATTGCCTTTCCATTCCGGGCCAAATTGGAGCTGCATGTGGCTACTGAACGACCGGAGATCTTCTCGCCGGGCGCTGATTGGCTCAGAAGCGTCCGCCGCGCTGGATCCGGCACAAGTTCTCGCATTTATTGCGATTTATGTGTCCCCGATTGTTCGACTCTGAGGCCCCGTCGAAGGCCGTGACTCCCGACGCGTTTCTCTTCACAACCACCGCCGCATATATAAGGACGCTTGGGGCCCCGCGACGCCGTCTTTCTTCTTTCCCCCATCCAGCACTGTCGCGTCGGTCGTCCTCTTGTCAAAACGCTCAACACAGGCATATTTATCGCTCGGCACCAGCGTCAGCGCGGCCGAAGAGGCTCTATCGTCAGTCCTATACCATTTCGGCTGTAGTGGAACTCGAACACTCCAAACTCGCACGCGCAACATATCTTTACTCGGCTACTCGGCCCTACCCCGCAGCCATTCGTATACTGCAACCCTAAAGTTTCTCTTTCTTTCCCTCAGTTATCCCTCTTGCAACGACAGCCTTTCGGTTCTTTGATTAGCTTATTCGCTTCGGCATCTCTTACAACAGTCGCTTTTACCTGCAAGTTATCGCTATCGCTAGAATGCACTCTTCGACCGGTGCCCCGTCGCCGACATGCGCCCACAGCGACCGCGCGTCGATTTCAACCCCTCCGCCCCAGCTGACGACCGCGGCACATGGGTCCCGTTTGTCCGTGCCAAGTAGCCCGGCGCCGCCCAATGACCACGCGAATGAATGGCCTCAGCGGCCGGCTGATAGTCACAGCTCTGGGAACTTAGACACGGCGTTTGCCTCGATGTCATTGAACGATGACCTCGGATCCGTAGGCCTTGGATTTACTGATAGTTCGTGAAGGTGTTCGTCTTAACGAAACGGAGCTGATTTACATTTATCGTCAGAATCAGCCCCGCCCATTGGTTCCCTGGGCAGCGGGGGATCCAACACGCTCGGTAGCGCGCCGTCCGTGTCTCACATCTCTTCTCCGACTCTCACTGCCATAGCTAGTCCGGCAGCATCGGCGTCGCCCACGCCCACTGCGTATACAACTCCTTCGGACTCCGCGCTGCCCAGTCCTATGCCTAACGATGCAGCTGTCCCGCCAGTCCTGCCCTCCAGTGCGCAGATTCCTGCAGCTCACTCTGTCGGTGTTGCGAGTACACTGACGCCTTCTCCGTCACTTGAGTCGAATCCATCTTCCGTAAGCGCCAGTCCTACGTTTACTACCTGTGCCTCCGCTACCCTCTCGCCCGTTGCCAAGTTCATGTTGTCACCCGCTCTTATTTCACCCGCTATCAGTTCACCTGCTATCGCTACTTCGTCTTCGAATCATACCAGCCCGTGTCCGGCGGACGTTGTCTCTCCTTCGTTTAGCTCTGCCTCCGAGCATTCGGCCCTCTTGTCCCCAACTGGTCAAGATCCCACTGTAGGATCTCCCACACCGCACGCTACCGCCAGGGCGTCTCCCGATATCAATGCGCAGGCAACGATACAAGACGCTGGCGATCTCAGTGACGCACGGGGCCTTAGCAAGCTCGCTGGAGCTCCCCTTCTGGAGAGTCCGCTCGCCTTGTCTGAAGCTAATGTCGCGTCTTTCGCCGAACAACAAAAGCGCTCATTCGATCGTACTTCCGGAGCTGCTACCATCCCCTCTGTACCGCCCGCCTCTCATGAATCCTTTGCTTTTCACCCTGCTGCGGGCCATGAAGTATTTCAGCCATCGGGCGGTGCGCACGATATGTCTTCTACGCTTTCTACAGTGTCATCTACGTCTGGAACATCTTTCAAGACGCCGAATGTCTATATCAATGGACTCCCTCCCAACTTTCCCGAAGAGCAATTATACAATATGACCAAAGATTTCGGCGGGGTCGTGAGCGTCAGGACCTTTACGAGACACGTTAGTGAGCGGCCGACGTGAGTGGTGTCCCGCCTTTTATCCCTTTTCTTTTCCTGACGTATCCCTGGGTCATTAGAGGTTACGGCTTTGTGTTGTAAGTCCAGTTTCTGTTATGTGGACTGCTCAATCAAGTACTCAACTGAAAAACGCTCCCTAGGTTCGAGACCATGGATGGTGCAGAGAGGTGTATCGAAGCGTTAAGGAAGTACAGAAACTTACACCCATCACTGTCAAAGGTCCGTCTGCGATTCAGATGGAGGCTGACGGCCATGGCGACTAACCGTTACCATAGCAAATTCATAAGATACCCGGTACTTTGTACTCGACGATAGACACCTCCCAGTGTGGAGTCACGTCACCCAGTAATTCCGCAGCGGATGAAAACTCGTTCAAGACCAAGATGGAAAAACTGAAGGACACTACGTCGACCAATTTGTATATTGAGGGGTCAGTACCTCAATCGCTTCGTCTGACTGGATATTGACCCGTATGTAATAGGCTCCCCTTGAGCATCGACGAACCGGTAAGCGACTTTACTCTATTGATGGGAAAGGAGACTGACCAGACTCTGACCAGACGCTGACGGCTCTCGTATCGCCCTACGTTATTAAAAGCAGCAGATTCTTCCAGACCAAGCTCAGTCACCCTCCACGTATCATTGCGTTTGTCCGGTAAGCGTACCCTTCTTGCTGAGGTTGTTTGCTACTCAATTGACTCCGTACCGACATCCTTTTCGATAGGCTGGAGACTCGTTCGGCGTGCGAAGAGATTATAGAACGTCTCCATGGCAGAATGGTTCGCGGATGGAACGATTCTGGCTGCCGAATTTCCGTAAGGTTCGCGGATAGTAACGAGCAACGAGAATTGAGGGTGCGTTAATTTATCGTGCTCGCTAGCACAACGTATAGCTCACTCCTGCGTAGAAGAGGGAGAGGTCCAAGAGGGAGGGCGGAGATGGCTCTCCTAATCGTTTGACCATGGCCCAAGCCGCTTTACTTAATCTCAGAGGTTCCGAGATGAGCGGTCGCGCTGGGGGACGATCCGTCTCTTGTCCGACTGGCTCCATGGGTGTACCGCCTGTCGATACCCTCAGTCTCGCTCACCATCCCGTTACGACACAGTACCAGCAGCAGAGGGACATGCAACTTCTCCTAGACTCGTTGAAGAACGGTGGCGTCGGCCTTGGAAACGGGCTCATGGAAGGGATGGGTCTGCACGGACAAGGGCTGGGTGGTGGACTGCACGGCACCGGTCTGAGCGCGGCGACGCTCAACGCTCAGGCCCTGGGGCTGAGCCATGCTGGTGCGGGCTTGCTCCCCGGATCTGTTGACGTTAACACACTGCTTACGGCGCAAGAGCTTAACAACTGGAACGGCACGGGAAGTTCTCAAGCAGGCGCAGGAGGTTTCACTCCTGCCGAGCAGTTGCTTCTCCAGGCCCATGCTCAGGCTCGTGCTCGTCTAGCAGGGCAAGGTGTCCTTGGTGTCTCGACCTCCGCCTCCGTGGGAATGGCTGGCCTACCGTCAGTAAACAGAGGTATCGGCCGCGCTCAAGCCGGGCTAGGTGGCATGGACTACAACAGTCAGCAGGGGTACGGGGTCGGTGGTGTCTCCTCTGCGGGTCTTCGATCCTATTCTCAATTTTCCTCTCCTGCTCTTGACACACTTCCTACTATGTCCGAGGAGCAGTTCCATGCCACTGCCGTGCCCCAGCGTTCGCACGCGCAGTCCCGTGGCCAGTTCCGCACGCAAGGACTTCGTCAGCAAAGTGCTGGAGGAGAGATGGGCCTTCGCGACGTTCGAGGGAACACCGAGGAGCTGGACTTGGATGAGATCAGATATAGTCAGCGTGGCGTGGACCGCCGCCAGACTAATGACCCTCTTCTGGGTCAACGTCAGGCATCCATCGCGCAAGGCTCGCAAAGTGGATCCCAGACATCGTCGCTTCACATGCGGGCGACCACACTCCCTGCTTCCCACTTTGGCAACAACCGCAGTGGTGCCAACTACGATGGCAATAAGAAGATGTTGCCTTCCACTGGCACCGGACACGGTGCAACTCGTGTCAACAACAGTTTGAAAATTGATAGCGCTGCCGGCAACGGGGCTGCCACCAGAGGTGCAGAGAATGTAGTGGACAAAGATCAGTCTCCCCTTGTGTCTCCTGCTCTGACCTACGCCTCGCATACGCCGTCGTCGACTTCGTTCAGTCCTGCAACGCCCTACTTCCATGCAGGCGGTTTCGAAGGGTACGAAGGGGTAGGAGTGGCTGTTGGAGCCGGGGACCAGTCTCCTGCCGGTCTAGGGCTTAACATGATGAACAACGTTGGAAAAGGCAAGGGGAGAGCGGTTAGTCATTCGTAAGTCGGCGGGGACAAGAGGGCACGAGGGCAAGGCTTCACAGCGGACCGCATCGTATCAAGTGCAAAAGATTTTCGGACATGTACAAGTAGACTTTCTCAACAGCAGCTAGGAGCTTTCGTTTACGCATCCGCATTCGCATTCGCTATCGTTGAGCCTGGCCATTTGATATAGCCGGCTGCATTCTGAATAGTTTTCATAGCCATTTCGTAGTCACCGTCCAACAGCTAGTTAGTATCGCAGAATCAAACATCAGTGTATTTATCGAATTCATTGGACTTCCGACGCAATTCCACCCATAAGGAATGCGAGAGTGATTTACCCATAAAGCTGCAGCACAACTCCGTAGACGTGATGAGGATGATATTTGCTGATACGTACAGAACGGTAGCTGTTGCGGTTTCGTTCTTCCCGAGGATATTCTCAGCTTGCCGCATTTATGCAGATACCGGGCCGAACGAGTGTTATGGCGCGCGAACCAATAAATATGATCAATGACGGGGGGTGGATACAAAGGATAGATAAAAGGGAGGGGCTTCAGTTGAATGAAGCGAACCAGTCAGGCATTGCTACATCCAAGATGACCTGCATCCGGATTCGATTGTTTCAGAACGCCTCTGTTGCTTAAACATAGTTCCATGAGCCGGTCAGGACACCGACGTCCGGGTTGGCGAAGTGGCTGAATAAGCCCTTGCTGAGGTCGAGCCCGCCCTTCGAGCACCCAGGGCACTGAGAGGAACGCAGGTCAGTGACTTTCAAACCAACCGGGTGGCGTTCTCGCACCTTGTCGACAATGGTGGCCGTGGCACTCTTGCCATTTGCGGTGATCTTGATCTGCTTGAAGCAGTGCGGGCCGGGATAGCCAGAACCGAATTCCTAGAGTCCTCGGTCACTCACATTGCTCCGGAAGGTTGAATGTGTCCAAGAATGACACTCACAGCGGTGTTCAATGCCACCACCTGCAACGGGTGTCAAGAGAGTACTACCGCGCTTGACATATAGGGACTTACGTAGTCGCTGGCCTTGTTGGTCTTGCCACATGCTCCCCTGGATGTGATAATGAGCTCATCTGCTACCCAACGAGGGCGACAAGGAGCTTACAGTCCGACATCGTACCACGTCAAGCGGACGTTACTGTCACGCGCGGCAAGCTCAGTTGCGTTGCGAGCTTCGAGAGAGAATGCAGCGGGTGCCGCCTGAGTGAAACCGACGAGCAAGGAGAGGAAGGACACGATAGTGAGGGTAGAGAAGTACATCTTGTGGGGAGAAAAGGGATGCGCGGGATGTAATGAGTGGATGTAGTCGCTTGTGAGCTGGTCTGAAAGGGTTCTCGCCAATGTCTTTTATACGAAAACCTGCTGAGGAGGACTGATTGGTCTCGACGCGTCGGAGGAGACAATCCGGGGAATTTGGTAGGATGACCGCCCGATCTCTCGGGGTCCAGCAGTGCCTACAAACGCTATCAGAGTCCAGAGAATCCAATGGATGTCAGGCCACCTTGATAGACGCGCACCGTTGGCATCCAGGCTTCAAAGATTACTTGGCAGCTATTAGACAGCTACTCATGTATTCCAAGCGGACAGGCTCACACGAATTGAGATACCCCGAGCTGGAGAGTTCGATGTTACGCTCTGGGTCGTCTGTCGGTGGACGACCAGATGCATGGCACTAGCGAGTAAGCTCACAACAACGCAGCTTTATTTCGGTGTTCCAGGCATTGCAAGGAGATACTCTCGCCCCATTCAAGTGAGTGATAGTTGTTGGGACCGGAGCGAGCAATTTCACGGGCGCCCGCCATGGATGTATCCAGAATCACGGTGAGCTTGACGGGATTTCCTGGAGACATCCAGCAACGAAGGCATCAAGAATACTGGCCCAAAACTGATGGCCCCAGGGACAGATGCATCGCCTTCAGGATAGATATTTAGATCAACGTTTCGTTACTGGCACCGAGGTAGTCAGCGAAGACCACGGGGAAGCTGAAAAGGAACCACTAGACCAGAAGTAATTGCTTTGTTCCGCGAGCCGCGTGGAGGTAACGTCGTCCCGTTCGAGTGAGGCAGGGTTGTCGAGACCTAGCGACTTAGCAGAAAACGCCCATCGCAAACGGCTGCAGAGAATCGGTCCAGAGCGTCAACCCTCTAGGTACTGGAGACGTGCAACGAGGACTTTGTGCGTACTCCGGACAGTTTTTGGACCAGGCATACATGCACGTCTTCGAAATATTCAAGTCAATGATCGACCACTGTAGTTTGGTAGTATGGAAGCGCCTTAGAGTAACGCCGCCTGTAGGACGGTGGAAACAAAATTCCGAGGAACAGCGTGCCATCGACGTGACGGGTGGATGGCATCCCACAGATTTTGCATGAGCAAGCGAACTCGGTCGAGAAGCGGTTCCCAACGACGAGGATCTACATCGGTGAAACTCCATCCGACAGCATACTTCCCTGCGATCAGGAAATACGCCCTGGCCAGAAGGGCCATCGCACAGTCAGCCAGCAATCGGAAATTTCGAGTTTGCTGAAGGCTATCACTGAGCTGTACAAGCCTATTGGAGGTTTGGACGCGCGGCGGGGAAGCCTGCCCTGGCGACTTCTAGCACGCCACAAATCCTCGGGACCTATTAAACCATCGCACATTCGGAGGTAGTTCAAAAGCGGAGGACTTCACTGATCCAGTCCTTGGTTTCATGGAAAGCGATGATATCGGCCAAGTGAGAAGCATAACTTTCTGAGCATGGATATCTGTAGTCCCCAACTTGAAGGTACCGAAGACGACTTCTTCTTGGACAGGAACAGGCACGCGCATCTTGCAACCCCAGCGCTCACTCGTGTGTTCTGACAAAGTATGTCCCATTTGCTCTTACTGTACGGCAGATGTACGGAGCCTACAGTGTGAGGCGCTCAAAACCGACCACTCGGCAATAGGCGAGCCGCGGATCCTATCACGGTCGTGGAAAAATACGGGAGGTTACGCATATGGTTGCTCGATATCAACTCGGGAAGCTCCGTCTGGCGCCGGCATCTTACCCCTCCCTTGCGGGATGGGATGAATTAATTATCACATAGGTGCTTGCACAAATGCAGCCAGAGGTTGGCTGGCCAGCTGAACACTTATTGCCATCCTGCGCAGTCCCTCCTTGATTTGGTGTGCAAAGTTCACAGCCTGTAGCTGCTGCGTAGAATTGAGATGGAATTTAGTACTGATTGTTTACTTCGATATGTAAGTGAGATGCAAAGTATAGTCTATGCATGGACTGGAGTCTAGCTGCGCGAGATAAATTCAAGTGTTGCTGTGTGCCACTGGAGCCAAACATGGCACGCCGGAACTTGCCGGTTGGTCGAAAAGTGCAACGTATTGCGGGTTTGGCACTCGTGAAGCGCCGTCTGGCGCCGGCAACTTACCCCTCCTTTGTTCAAGAAATCGACCTTGAGAACTTGCACTAAGTTCAAAATCTTGCGGCTGCTACAGGGGGTCGACAAATCATCGTAAGGAGACTATTTCTACCATAATACAAAGGATATTGTTAGTAATATAGGGGACTCAAGTTTTCCCCAGTTCTCTTTCATTCAAGCTCCATCTAGGGCCAGGTAGAATGCTCTGTGCTGTTGTCTCCTAAGTAGTCTAAGAGATACTTACCCACTCTCCAAGAATGCCTAATGGTGCATGTCTGTTGCCTGGACATCTGGCATCCACTTCACATCATAGTTTTATCTTACAGTCTGTTCAGCCTCATAAGCCATGGAATGACATGGATTTTCTACTTATTTGTAAATTGTCCATCACAGACTTACATATGGCATGGAGACCCAGAAAACTTGAATGATTGAATACCCATGTTAGATGGAGTGCACATACACTCAAATCCTTCTCAAGCCATGACATACAACACTCAAAAATTCTGAGGTACAAGGATCTATGCTTAATACTGTGCACTCCCTGTAGCTCTAAGTTCTAGCTCACAATAGGCCTTTATCTGTACCTGGTGGCATCCACAAACCAACACTAATTACATAGTTGAGCGGGACTTAAGTACGAACATTGAGATGGATTCCCGACCATGGCCACACTGCGGGAGTTGCAGTCTTTAGGGGCGGGCAAAAGATTGTACGAAAGGGAATTCCGCGGGCTCTAATTGGCTGGAAATTACCTTTCGTACAATCTTCTGCCCGGCCCTAAATACTGCAACTCCCGAAGTGCCAAGTCCTTGTTCAGTAGTGGCGCCACTAGGGCCAAACATAGCACGCCGGATTTTGCCGGTGCGACGAAAAGTGCGACACAATTCAAGGGTGCCAGAACCCCTCCCAAAGGAGGGGCATACAGTGCCTTGCATAAGAAACTGAACATCGCATTTCCCGCGCGTTGTTTGTTCGCACCAAATATGCCCTTTTCGGGTAGGTCCGGAAAGCCTCTCGCGGGGCCATTTGCTGGGCAAGGACTCGCAGATGCCCTGAGAGGGCTCAAAAGGCTTCATAGAATGCATGAAATGTATATTCTACAACTAAACTGAGGGCTGTAAATCATTAGACTCTGCCCTGAGCTGTATGCCCAGCTACTCTCCCTCTCGATGGGTCTTTGCCGCACATTTGCTGATACCCGAAAAGGGTATATTTGGTGCGGACAAACAACGCGCGCGGAAATGCGATGTTCAGTTTCTTATGCAAGGCACTGTAAG